CCATATTGAGGGTGGAGAGAGGAGCCGAGTTCGCTCACAAAATGGAGGCGGTCGGTGGTGCGCAGGGCTGGCTTGCGCGGGGAAATCAGGAGTCGAGACTGGAAAGAAAGCTTCCCGCCTCCTCAGGGCCGAAAATATCTTTGGAAAATCCCTTAAACGGCTTAGGGAGAAATGAAGCTTCTTGGCAGCTTGCTGACTGCAGGCAGGCTGGGTTTGCTTGCTGCTTCTGCTGCTCCCCCCGCGGCGGCAGGAGCGCTACAAAATGGCTGGCCCGAAGGATCAGCTGGCGGGGGAGCCTGCGGGTCTCCTTGAGCTGTGTGGTAGTTCCACTAGGGAGGAAGGGAGAGATGTTTTGTGCTAAGTTTGCCCAGGAGAGACTGCTGTTATCACTAACTTGCACCAGAAGGACTGGAAAACATTTTCTGTGATAGAGGACAACACTGAAAAACCTAGAGATGCCTATTCCCAGTGAGAACAAAATGCCTGAAGTAACAACTATTTCCCTAAAAAAATGTTGCCTTTTATTTCTGTTGAGAGTTCTTGTGACATAGGTGTATCCTGATGATAATTTTTCTCAGAAGAGGCAAATTGTAATAACAGGTTTTCCTCCCACATGAGAATGGCTGTTCATTTGTGTCTAATAAAAGTAAGCAGAAAAGGACTTCCCTTTTCCTTTCAGGAGTGACCTGAAGAGTTCTTGGGTCATCCTTTTAATGAGTTGCTAGCTGAAAAACTTATAGCCATGAGGGGTGTCAGAGAACTGTATAAGTCTGTCCAGTTTTCCCCTATATATATATATATATATAATTTTTATTTTGAAGAAGCCTAAACTAAGCAGTTTCACATAATAGATTTCCTTTAATATGAATAGGATAGTTTGAAACACTTAATGTTTTCAGCTTTAATATAATCCCACCAAAAACTTAAGTTGTGTCAGTAGATTTTTAGAAAAAATACAGTTAGCATCAAAATACAATATTTCACTTAACCTGAAGCGGCTTCTATATGTGGAAGACTGTAGAAAAGGGGCTTTCCTTTGTAGTCGCAGGACCATTGTCTGTCAATCATGTTCTGTAGTAACAAAGCTAGTGTTTTAAAGGGAAAGTTGTTACTGAGAATGCTGGGGCTCTTCCTCACTAAGTTTAGCAGGCACAAAAACGGAGCTATTTCTCAGCCAGCTTTTTATAATCTCTGGTATTTTTACCTGTAGTACAACTTGACCATTATTAAGCAATACTTTCCTAAGGCAGTATATAATTCAGAAATTCTCTTTTGTCTGCATTGCTTCACAACATTAATTGCTCTTTAGGGTGGTGTGTTGCACTAAAAAGGGATATTTGTTTTTCTGAATAACCCTAGCACCACCACCCCCTTTATTCAAATGCTGGCAAAGGTTTAAAACACTTTGTTTTCAGGTTTGAAGCAAGACATCTACTTGTAGAAATCTGGGGATGGTTTTATGTAGTTCAGCTCTCAGGCTAATGCTGCAGATTTGTCTAGGTTAACCCATTGCAGTGAACACGTTGATGCTGCAGAATTGAAGTCATATGCAGCACAGCAAGCTAGCAGCATAGCTGGTCAGCACCTCGTTGTGGAGTGTTTTTATGCAAAATGTACTGACTTGCAAATAAGATTTTAATCTGGTTGCTTCTCTGTCTTGGAGATGGGAGAAAATTGTAAAATAATTTTTCGTAAACTCCTGACAAATATACAGGATATCTCCCTGCCTGACAAAAATAAAACATTGCGACACTGAAAGAGAGCAGAAACACCAGTGCACATATAAGCATGCTTCAATTCTACTACAGAAAACTGGGATTTGAAAATTAGCACATTTTAAAATGTATCTGGTCATATATAAGTGATATTGTCAAGAGCTTAAATTAAATTTGTTTGGTTTATGGTGATTGTTTTAATGACCAGTGACCAGTTTTAATCTAGTAGTTGTACCCACTACTCGTCTTTGATTAGGTACAATTCAAGACATTTTTTATCTTTAAGACATAAGCCCATTTTGATTCATGTCTAACAGGTATTTCCCCTAACACTGAAAACCATGTGTATGTACTACTTTCTTACTTGCATGCACTCAAAAAATAATCAGAATACAAAATTTACAATTTTAAGAAATTAAGAATTGAGACATTTCTTCAAAATGAGTAAAAACAACCTTTCAAAATGGGTATCCCAAAACACTAGACGCTGAATTTGGACAATTTCTTGTACACAGTGTTCTTAAATTTTTATAGTTCCTCACTATTAATTCTTTTTCTAAAGTGGTAGAACTTCTCTTTTATCTAGTAGTGCTTCATTGTTAATCTCTACAGAGCAATATGCAACTTGAACGTAAGATAGGCGTAAAATTAATGCACTTGCATGGGGCTGGAAGCAACCAAATTATTTAGTATATTGAAGTCTCTTTACTGTTGTTTCCATTTGAGCACTCTTTAAGTTGTTAGCTAGTTAATGTTTTAATTAAAATTACACCTCATTAAGTGTTAACTATGCTGTCATCTAAATCTATTAGAAGTCATTATTTTCATGTAAATTTATTCAATTTATTTGTAAATATAATATGCACAGAAAATTTTTAGTAATTTTGTGAAACTTTAACTCCAGGGTTTGTATTCAAAATGTTTTTGATTTTTGATTTCTTAGGGCCATGAGCCAAAGGAGCCAGAGCAGTTGAGAAAGCTGTTCATTGGAGGTCTGAGCTTTGAAACAACAGATGATAGCTTGAGAGAGCACTTTGAAAAATGGGGCACACTCACGGACTGTGTGGTAAAGTGTTAAATATTATTTTGTGCCTTTGGAAGGCCATGGGTAGTTAATCTAGCACAGAAATGCAGAGTACACCCTGTGTTTTTGCAGGTGATGAGAGACCCACAAACAAAACGTTCCAGAGGCTTTGGCTTTGTGACTTACTCTTGTGTGGAGGAGGTGGATGCTGCCATGAGTGCTCGACCACATAAGGTTGATGGTCGTGTGGTTGAACCAAAGAGAGCAGTTTCAAGAGAGGTAAGTTAGTATTTCAGTTAACGTTATTTCCTAATATTTACTTAATAATTTAAGACACTGACTGTCTCTTTTGGCATTGTAGGATTCTGTAAAGCCTGGGGCACATCTCACAGTAAAGAAAATATTTGTTGGTGGAATAAAAGAAGATACAGAAGAATATAATTTAAGAGAGTACTTTGAAAAATATGGGAAGATTGAAACCATAGAAGTCATGGAAGACAGACAAAGTGGAAAGAAGAGAGGCTTCGCATTTGTAACATTTGATGATCATGATACAGTTGATAAAATTGTTGGTATGTAACTTCAGTGAGAAATGGCTTACAGGATGGATTTCACAACAGTGTGGAATTTAAGATGTTGGCATAATTCATGGCTTGACTGTTGTAAGAAATGGGATAGATTTAATGGTAATGCCTTATAGTAGCTTTCTTTGAGTTTTACAGCATAATGCTTTCAATTATTTGATTTTCTGACTTTCCTATTTCACAATTTTCTCTAGTTCAGAAATATCATACTATAAATGGACATAACTGTGAAGTGAAAAAAGCACTCTCAAAACAAGAGATGCAGACTGCTAGCTCTCAGAGAGGTATGTTTGGAGTTTTGCATGGTTATTTTATGTAACTAGTTTTCAATTAATATAATTGAAGCAAAATATTTTGTAGGTCGTGGGGGTGGCTCGGGCAACTTCATGGGTCGTGGAAACTTTGGCGGTGGTGGAGGGAACTTTGGCCGAGGAGGAAACTTTGGTGGCAGAGGTAAATAATTGGAATGCTTGTATTGAATGTGATCTCTCCTTTTTTTTTTTTTTTTTTTTTTCTTTCTTTCTTCTTTTAATTTCGTGCATCATTTGGCTTACATGCTGAGGATGTATGTTCAGGAAAACATTCTCATCTGTTTTGTGTTCCAGGAGGCTATGGGGGTGGTGGTGGCGGTGGTGGGAGCAGAGGAAGCTTTGGGGGTGGTGACGGATACAATGGATTTGGTGATGGTAAGTGTTCTGTCCACTTTTGTTCACTCCCAGCATTATGACCAGCTGTAAATCTTGTCTTCACCTTGGAAACCACATCTGCTTTGGTGGTAATGTTTTCTGCATTGTAGAGCTGTGAAGAGTTAAATAAGTTT